CTTTTCTACACTAAATCTCCGAGATAAATTATCCCACACATCACTTGCTCATACATAGACTTTGTTAAATAATTTCCATGCAAAAGAACTACAGTAATGCCAATATTTTTGATTCAAACTTACCGATATACTTAATCTTCATAATATTCATATTCAAGAAATTTTATCAGCAGTACGATACTGCGCCAAACATTGTAAAATTTTTCGATGTTCTGTGCAAGATTTTTGCTGTGCCGTTGCATGTGACGAGATTCATGTGAATAATTTCACTGTTCCTATTATACACGTGATGATGGTCAAAGATTTTCTCAGATTTAACTTTAACTTAAATATATAAATGTATTTTTTTAAAAAAAAATGTCAAAAAACGATTAATTAAGAGCATAATTTGACTTTCAGAAGCTTTAGATTTAGTATTATTAAGAAAATTTACCAGAAATATAAATTCGGCAATTTGGTCGATCATATCCTTTTTAAAAAATAATGATTTAAAATGGGCCATCATCAGATGAATTTCAATTGTTTTAATATATTGAATTGACAGTAAAATCAACGGTTTCGTGATTCCCCAACCTGAAAAATATGCGATAATATTTTATTTTCCATCACATATGAGAACATATAAATATCGGTATCATTTGTATATAACGTTCTTTTTTCAAGTTTTTCATATGAGTCCGGGACTGTAACCTTATTTATAAAGTATTTTGGTGAATATTTACAAGGGATAAAAAAAATCTTTTGCAACTAACCCTATAATAAATATTATAGAACGTTCAAATATAGATTTCATAATCTAAATAATCATCATGAAAGATAGAGGTATTAGATACTACAATACCCATTGTCAATATTAACATGTTGCGGCTAAATTGGACTTCAATAAAAAAAACCATAAAGGGCATTATTCAATCGCAAACATCTAATAATATTCGAGGACTAATTAATAAACTTATAATAATATAAAATATTTCCGTTTTTCACTGTCACACATCACATCACACATGGGGTTACATAATAGTAATCATCCTATTCAGTAATAATTAATAAACGGCTATTACTATATCAAGAAATAAGAATCAGATAAAAAAAAAAAAAAAATCTGATAGTCGATCTCTTAATCGCCTGATCGCTGTTACTTTAATTAGTTTGATTTGCAATTAATTTATTCATGTTTAACACAACGAATATTGTTCAAAAAAAATATTTATATAAATTTTTTATTCTGTATTAAGTAAAATATATATTATAAAATAAGAAAAAGATTTTTTATATTATTTCTAACAACCAAAGTAAATTTTTTAAACATCAGTTTTAAGCTGATCAGTATTATCATTTACATCCCTTGAAGAGAATTCTTCTGCTTTAGATTCTTTTCTACCACGGTACCAAAGATAACCAATAGCACCCAAAACTACAGTCCAATAAACAAAATATGCAGCAGTAGTTCCTTGAGTAGCCTTATCACGCCATCCAAATACTACCTTCATTATAGCCCAAAATTCATTGGTTTTTGGATTACAACATTTTAAATGCCACACTACTTTTTCTTCTGTACCAGTTGCTTCTTGTAGTTCATGTACTGAGGTAGAAAACAATCCTGCTGCAATGAATAATAATAAGACCGTTGAAAAAATAAAAAAGGCATTTAATGACATCTTATGAGATCCTTTGTAAATAATATATCCTATAAAGAATCCTGTCGCCATTCCGAGAATTACGGGAATTGGAAGACCAGACGCGGGTTTATCAAATCCAACCTATGGAGAAATATTTAATATTTTTATGTAAATAGATGCATGATGCGCGAAAATATCACTTAATTATTTGTTTGGTACTTACACCTGCGATGAACACGAGGGTTTCTAAAGATTCTCGACATACAGCGGTAAAAGGTAACAAGATCAATGCCCATTTGTTACCGTTTTTATGTTTATTTAGATATACTTCTGC